AAATACTCACCATAGTAAACAACACCATTAGAAGTCATATTTTATTAGACTGTAACAAACTGAATAAGAGAAACTATATACAAAGTATTCATGGAGACTTTCGGTAGTGCAAGTTTTAAACACGCCGCCAGGAAATATGTTCTGAAAGTTCCAATCATAAATTATCCCAGAAGCGTAAATGCATTTCACGAATCCACTACCTTATCAATCATACTTTAAGCACAGGGGAAGTATAACTACGATGACTATGAAAACGTTAAAATGAAACATAATATAGAAGAAGAAGAGTTGTCGATCAGGTTGAAATACTTGTCGAAAGATTCTTGTTTTTCAGTGATTTTTAATCATGTAACAGTTCAAAACGAAGTAATACAATAGATAAAAAGAAAAGTTGGAGTTCCGGAGTCGTTTATCCATATGAAGATCTTATCGCCGACTACAAATCCCCAAACTGGGCATCAGTGACCGTCTCCTCCATATCCCCAGGATGGAGAGTCTGCAGAGTTGGCTTGTCATCTAAGGGAAACAAGCCAACGTTATTATAACCCTCTTCCCTTGTAAGGTCAAAATAGACAACTAATAAATAGTGTACATACAATCTTTTGAGTTTCCTGAATCTGTATGTCTGTTTTGCATTCATCAACGAATATCCAAAGAAAATTATAGTTCCATTTGACAGAGGTAGGGTAAGGGAGAATTTCACAAAATGAATGAATGCGAATATATTAGGTCATTTCATTTTCAAATTAATAAGCAATGATTAATTTATTTTCAAGTGTTGGTTTTGTAGGAATTTATTTGATTGGATGGAGGATTTCATCATGGGCTGACATCAGTTAAAGAACCACTGGAAAACCTGGGAGTACCAAACAGCTGTTTCGTCGGCCTAGTTTGGGACTCTTCAGCAGTACGCACCCACTACATGGGTTGGAACCCAGGACCTTCTGGTTACAAAGCGAGCTCGTAGACCACTGAGACCCGATCCAATGGCACATTAATTCTAACTTTTGTCAATTCTGGCTTTCTAGTGGGAAGCTGTGACCAGTAGGGTACAGAGGGTTGAAGATGAGGCAGTAACCCATTGTAGAAGACATTGTGAAATGGTCGTGCTATGTCGTGAAGTGGCAGAAGTTAGAATTCATGGACTAGCCATTGAGGAGTCGGGTACGATTGGTGTGGGTGCTTACTGATGAAGAATTCCAAACTAGGCCGACGAAACAGCTGTCCAGTAATCCCAGGTTTCCCAATGGTTCATTGACATCAACCAGGAGTGAAGGCAATTAGACAAATCAAGACATTCTAATGAAATAAAATGCCGAGCTTATTAGCAATGCATCCAGCTTGACTCAGTTCAGAGAGTCAAATCAGTTCAATCCACCAGGTTATTTTCGTATGGTTGGTAGCATTACTAAGGGGGGGGGGGAAGTATGTGACTATTTATTGATGGGTGACATCAATATGTTCATTCAAGCTTGCAGATATACCCTGTTGATGAGTGCCAAGAAGCATAAGTAACCTATGTCTAGAGTTTACTAGTATTTAAGAAAGGCAAGTCAGTCTATGAAATTGTGAAGGTACATCGACTGAGATAGTTAGGACATATGTAACGCATGTCCCGAGCCACCGACTTCCTCAGCACGCAATAATAGAAAAGAGTTAAGGTTGGTGATTCAGCGGTAGGACGCTTGCTACGCACGCATGTGGTCCGAGGTTCGATCCTCGATCAACGCATTAGTAAACCTACTTTGGCCAGTAAAGAAGAAAGGTTGGGCGTGTTGTTTGCAGCCCCCCCCCTCATTTAAAAATTAAATTACTGCTACTGAAACTTCAAAGCTGAATCTTGGATCTCCATGTTCCATTGAGGACGAGAAGAAATAAGATAGTTATAGTGATAATAATAATATGAATTAGGTTGGTCAAACCAAAACTTGATATCAGTTAATGAAATCTTTACCAGTTGGTTTGAGCCACATAGAGAATTGTAGGCTGCCTGACAAGAGTCAAACAAATCACAGTGGAGGAAAAGCCCATCTCCATTCAACTTGATTAAAAATGTGGAAATATAAAAGCGATTGTCAACAGAAGATTGAGGACGTCTCTAGCCAGAGCCTATCCTGCAGCTTAGCTCGTTCCCGTCTATCGAACAACTTGCTTTTGGGTGCAATCAAAAATCCACAGATATCTTCCTCACGTCAACTCCAACTGTATAAACAATTTTACATGTGTCTTCGGGAGCAGTTAGATAGGAAAAACAGAAAGAAGGGTGTACCTGCGATTTTCTGAAATTGTGCCACAAAGCCCTACGTCTAAACGCAACAAATGCTTTAGACAGTGCCATAGCCAGGTATCTGCTTGACACGGGCCATGAGGTGGACGTCGCAATATCATTTAAAATCATCAATAAGCAAAACAGCTCAATTCTCCTTAAGTTTACCTAAGCAATCTACATCAAGCGCCAGAAACCCGATTTATGAGTTCAGAAAGGAGCGGTTATCAGTCTCTCCTCGCCTTGGTAACTGGATATTTTCCCCTCTTTCATATACATATATATAATTACTGTATGTATATTATACTGATTGATTTTTGTTTAAAAATGAACTCTGCGCAAGTATGTTAAAATTACGGAATATACACATTGGGTCATAGGAGTAAATAAGAAGACAGTTGCAGCGAAGAAAATTTTCTTTTCGACGAAGTCATCATCTAGGCTGTACATTCGTGTATTTATATCAAATGGATGGGAAAGTTCCAGAATAATATCCGGTCAAGGGTCAAATTAATAAAAATTAAAATTGGGAATTAGAATGCCATAATAAACAGGGGGATGGATAAAACAAACAAAATAGCATTAAAATAACTAAGAAGACTGACATTGTGAAATTAGGAGTTAGAAATGTAGAAATAACAAAATAGACAGGATGTTTGGATAAAAACTAATGTGATGAATAATAGTTTATGCAATCAGGGATTAAATATGTAGAAATAGTAAAATGACAAAATAAACACTAAGTTCGGGTATGAAAATATGGTAGTGTAAACAGGGATTAAGAAAAACTTGAAATAACATGAATAAACAGGAAGTTTAGATAAGAAAGGCGATGGGATGGTGATTACTAAAAATTACCTGTTTATGATGGCCATGGCAAGGACAGGGGTTGGGCGTATTTCTTTTGTATACAAAGCGTGGGTTTGAGCTTTTGTATAGCTAGCGCCTCGGCTATGCTCAGATGTCTTGATTTTACTCCCTTTGATGGGTTTGATCGAATCTTGTAAATGATTTTGAAGGATTTTTCGAGTGGCGCCGTACCATGCGCTGACTTGAAAAACGCGCTCGTGAACACTATCCAGCCTGGCTAGTAAAAGGAGAACGAAAACGGGTAAATAGTTCGGTGACAGAACACCTGGTGAATTCAGGACATTCAGCGCCACTCGAAAAATCCTTCAAAATCATTTACAAGATTCGATCAAACCCATCAAAGGGAGTAAAATCAAGACATCTGAGCATAGCCGAGGCGCTAGCTATACAAAAGCTCAAACCCACGCTTTGTATACAAAAGAAATACGCCCAACCCCTGTCCTTGCCATGGCCATCATAAACAGGTAATTTTTAGTAATCACCATCCCATCGCCTTTCTTATCTAAACTTCCTGTTTATTCATGTTATTTCAAGTTTTTCTTAATCCCTGTTTACACTACCATATTTTCATACCCGAACTTAGTGTTTATTTTGTCATTTTACTATTTCTACATATTTAATCCCTGATTGCATAAACAATTATTCATCACATTAGTTTTTATCCAAACATCCTGTCTATTTTGTTATTTCTACATTTCTAACCCCTAATTGCACAATGTCAGTCTTCTTAGTTATTATAATGCTACTTTGTTTGTTTTATCCATCCCCCTGTTTATTATGGCATTCCAATTTTAATTTTTATTAATTTGACCCTTGACCGGATATTATTCTGGAACTTTCCCATCCATTTGATATAAATACACGAATGTACAGCCTAGATGATGACTTCGTCGAAAAGAAAATTTTCTTCGCTGCAACTGTCTTCTTATGTTAAAATTGTTTCGGTAGATATATTACATAATGACTTTGGCCTGTAAGCAACTGATGAGAAGCCAATGAAATTAGTAGTGATGGTGCATTTTTATTCGTGTTTTATTCAAATTCATTAGGGGGAATAAGGGAAAGAGCTAACTGTTGGAAGTCGGTGTGACTCCAAATCAATAATCCAGATGTATTCACACTCAATGTAATTTCCTATATCCACTAAACTGTCATCTTTTTCGATATTAACTATGCATGCCACCTCCTTCATGTTTCTGCCTAATTGTCATTCTTTTGAATATCTGTTTTTCCTTCTCTACCTTTATTTGAACTACTTCAGTTTGTAAAACATTCTCTAAAAATGAAACTCAGTCAGTCTGTCAATGAATGTCACCTTCCTACCATCAATTCAAAATACAGCTAGCTTGGTAATCCATAGAGAACAAAACCTTGAATGATACTGTTCAGTTAACGTTAATAATAACAAATAGAGACATGATATTGCACTTCTTGCCATCAACATCCTGTTAACACTTATTTATTCATCCTTGTGCATTCAAGCTAAAAATGTCTGATCAGTGTTATATATTTTGGCAAATGAACATTTTGAGCATACATCCAACTGACCAATCCTCTTCCGAATAGGCAGAGACTGGCATCCTAAACTCCACTGCTGGCAACCAGCTAAGAGAATAAATCAAACAGACATTTCATAACAATATTGTTGAGTCGGTAGTTCACAATCGTAGAATGTTATCACTAGACAACCACATGGTCCGGGTGTTCGATCCCCGGGTCGAACACCGACGCACTCCTAAACCTCGCTCAGCCGACTATAGTAGTAGTAGCAGGCTTGGTGAAGAGGGAAGGTTGAGGAGGGCATGGGGCTAACCACCCCACTCAGAACGCAAGGAAATGAAAAAAGTATTAATATTAAGCATATATATATATATATATATATATATATTATAAAAAATCACAATTTCAAGAATGTACACTACTCATTCTCTGAAATGAAAACAGATCGAACTGCATGATATCATACGCATCCATCCATTCATCCATACATGCATACACACACACACACGGAAAATCAATATTTGTAGTAGAAAACATAAAGGCAAAGAAGAAACAAAAGAGTTGATCTTCGGAAAAAGTCAAAAAAAGATACGAATAAGTAAATATGACAGCTGATAGATTTAAACAACAATCTGGACTAGCAGTGAAGATAACATCGACCAGTTTCAATTATTCCTTCAAATAGGTAATATGTGTATATTAGGAAGCTGGTAAAATTTTACTTACTACAATAATAATAATACTGAAAATAGTCATCCATTCAATTAAATTGTAACTTTTAGTTCACGCGGGATTTTTGAAAGTATGGGCTACTTCACTGAACGCGTGATCATCGTTTCAAAACGCTGAATAGAGTACTCTGTAAGTAATTGAAGACAGATAGGGATTTGTCAGCTTCTCAGCAAAAAACCAAAAACAATTAACAATAAATACTGGAAAAAAAGTGTTTTTGAACACACAAAGATGGTTTAAACTTACTAATTTCTAGGGTTTCCACGAATTTTAGAATGCATTAGAATTCAGTCTGCACCAAAGATAGGACTAGACACAAACACTATACTGGACACTGACTGGTGTCCAATCAAATATATATATTCTTTGCATTCCAAGGGAACATAGGGCCCTGAGCTTCAAGCTTTGAAATTTCAGTATAGGTGTTGGTTTTCTACGGAGTGGAGTTACTGTAACATAATAATTGCTTGGAAAATCCAACCCCCCCCACCCCTCAACGATCTAATCACAATATTTCTACTTATTTGGATGCCTTAACTAAATTTGTGAATATTATTATCCATTTTTCTCCTGGACCATGTTATTGCTCTGACCTTTGTATATCATATGTTGATCTGATCTCTATTATTTGTTCTCCTTCCTGTTTAATCTCGAGTTTTAATGCTTCTCTTTGTAATTGTGAAATACATCAATGATACGTTGTTTTACGATGTGATTTTGTTTGAGTGAATCAATGGTCATTCTGACCCATTCTGACTGTCTGTGGGACGCCATGCTGTGTGATTCTTGTGGCCAAAGTTTTTTATCCCAACTTGTTGGGAGTATTCTCCTTGATTCTAAAGCACTTCTAACAGTTGAATTTTGGTTAACTAATTTTGTTCTACAGTGTTTCTTTTATGCGCCTAGGATACCTGTCTAACGACACTGTTGACGTAATTTTGAGTTGTTGATGTTGTCACTGTTATTATTACACATAGATTCAACCAAGAATGATCGTCTTTTCGCTACCTTTGGAGCATTTTATGCCTGTGTGAGTCTCAAGGAAGTCTCAGGCAGCTATACAGCAGGACGCAAAAATCACTTTCTTGCATTCGGACCGCAAAGAGTCCTTTTTGGAAGAGACAGTGTTAACCTCGTCTAGTTTACCAGCCGGCCCTAGGTTAGAGATAACGAGGGAAGGTTGGATGTGGGGCTAGGCCACCCTACCCTACCACAGAAAATCAACTCAATTGATAAAGAAACTTCAACACACAGAAGAAAAATACAAACAACGTTGTTCTTCTCTGCTTCAATAGGACAGACGGAATGACGGTCAGGTCATTGTGACTTAGGACTGTTTGTTGAAATCGTTAAAGTGTGTGGTTCTGTTGGGCAAGGCTTCTGATCTCACTTTGTTGGGCATATGCTCCTTGATTCTGCGATACCTTTAACAGTTAAACTTTGGTTAACTAATTTTATCTTACAGTACCTGATCTGTATTTAGAAACCGCATTACGGCACTGTTGCAGACTTTCGATAAAGTCGATAAGGATAAGCTTACATTCTAACAGTAGTGTGAACACGGGTAGTAATTTTGTTCGAAATATTACCAATAACAAAACTTATCATTGTGTGTAAAACTACTGAAATATAATTATACTTTATTTGATAAGCTTACAACCTAACCGCTTGATTTTTCTCAAGGCTGACTTTTGGAGCAATCAAATCCCCCCTAGATTTAATCTGCCAGTCACAAAACAGATGTTATGTAGTTATTAAGGACCCGTTGTTAAAACAGGTGACTTACACTTATTTTTTTCGATGAATTATCATTAGAAGACGGTGAAGATAAACAGTTAATTTGCTGTTGTTGTTGTTGATGATGATGTTCATCATGACGTAAACATTGTAATTCATCAGTTAAATTTGCCATATGTTTAGCCATTTCATTAACTTGTTTGACTGTATTTGTTTTAGTTAACTCAAGTTGTTCTTTTAATTCATTGGTATGATTTTTTAGGCGGGTGATTTCTAATTGTTGCTTTTGATTTATACTGATTAATTGTAAAATCCATGGCATTAAAGATTCAAGCTAAAATAAAACACGAAAATGAAGTAGAAAGAAGGAGGGAGAGAAATTTTTGATAACTTACCATTTATAAATTAATACACAGTACGAGGGGGGAGTTAGAATCAATCAATCACCAGACTGTTGTTTTTAGACATAAAGAATATTCATATCACAATGTGAAAAAAGCGAAAGAAATAGTATGATCTTACATATTACTTACACATTGAAATCAGTAGTTGGATGCTACTTACCAGTCATCACACTGACCAGTAGTGTTTATCACTTAGTCGAATCGAAACGATGTAAAAAAAAGGCCCAAACGGCCGTTCTGCTCGATGCTAATCGAGCTCATCAACGGTGTATTTAGTTCAACTAAATTATCATTGTCACTTCGATCTGACTGATGTGAGTGATATTCAACTACTATTCATTGCATTAACTAATCAGTAGTTTATAATACCACACGAATTGATTTATAAGCCTCAGGTGATGAACACTAACTGTCCACATCTCTTCACTCCATACCGAAGATCAGATGAACCATGGGAACGAACCAACCAACCAACCAATCAACAACATACTGGCCAACAAAACTGCCGAATGAAAAAGGCGATAGATCAGACAGATTCTGAGGAAACGGTTGAGTGAGATGGCGCGCCAGTCTCTGCGTCAGAATATGATATGGAGACGATCATGTGAAGAGGAGATCAAAGCTTATAGGCGAAGCCAGTGAAAACAGCTAAAGTGGACTTCATAGAACATGATGAAGCAGAGATGTCCTGTTGAAGCCCTATGTTCGTTTCGGGACCTAAGAGAATAATAACAATGGAAATAAATAAATAATAGGTGTCCAGTCTAGTCTCCTGATTTCACTCCAAATGATTACTGATACAAAAGATATAGAATGTGCTATATACTACTACTATTGTCCACACTACCTGATAAATCTTTATTTTAGTAGATTGAACTAATCATATATGTTATAATGTAGTAACACTGATACAGTGCTACACTCCAAAGTCAACCATGAATTTCTTTGTTACTCGATAATTTATTGTGGCGTGTGCGGTGCAGAGATTGATAAAAAGCAGTCAAACTGAAATCAAAGTTCTAAGTTAATGACTGCAAAGGTGAGAAGTGTTTATCTCTGAAAATATCTGGATTTAATTTACATTGTGGACATGGAACAACCTGATTGGACAACTTGTTTAACCTTGAGCTGGTTGTCGACCAATCAGAATAATTTGTTATCCCCTGATCTAGCCGAAGTTTGATGTGACTAGGAATGTATAAATATAATGTGTTATTCTGTAAATAAAAGTTCGTTACCACGTTTTCTCCTATTCTCTCACGTTACGCTATTAGATTACATAGAACTTTAAAAAATGGTCTTAAGTTCTATAAAAAGAATGGTTAGTGAACAAAGAATATTCTTTTCGATAACCTGCTCTTCATCAGGTTCTAGTTATACATACATAATAGTGAGTAAATGAATTGGTGTTATTAACAACATCAAAGCTGTTTAAGTAACATCGAATCAATCATAACAGCAATATCAGTGGATTACAGTTCGATAGCATGAACATAACAATATGCACTGAATATTAGAAAAATTAGGAATAATAATAATAATACATATTCATGAATTTATAGTCTCCACTGAAGACCAGCCAGAGCAGTAGTAGTGGTTGGACTTGCTTCTTTTGCACACAAAGCACTGGTTGTTTCACGCGAATCGCGATAGACTAAGGTGTTTGGAGTATGCGGTACCTCGACGTTGTTGGAAATTTATTAGGCACATGATAGGTGACCGAGAAGGATTCTTCAATGCTGGCTTTGTGACGGGTTCGGAACAGGTGGTCTAATACTGAGCTGTTGATGGTTCTTACTACACCACACTGGAAGATGTTCCCGAGAGAGCACGAAAACTCAAGTTCCTAGAGCAACAGCCAATATAAATCGCTACTATAACCACAAGGCACTCTATTCAAACTCACGTAGTCGTGTAAGGGCTTATGGGGAATTGTCATCTGAATTGGTAACAACCAGTGGTGTCCGACAGGGATGTCCACTTTCCCCATTTCTGTTTAACTTCGTCATAGATATGCTAACGGAAGTATCCTTAACTGAACGTAGTGACTTAGGAATCGACTTATTACCAGGGAATAATCTAATGGACTTAGAATATGCAGATGACATAGTCCTGTTAGGGGAGGATGCTGAAAAAATGCAGAGTCTTCTGAACACCTTGAGCAGCAATCTTCGTATGTTTGGCATGCGATTCGCCCCTGCAAAATGTAAGATGCTGCTACAGGACTGGACCACGTCAACCCCTAACTTAGTGATAGGGAGTGAAGTGATAGAACATGTTGACCACTTCACCTACTTGGGAAGTTGTATTAGCACCAACGGACTGATTGGCGATGAAATCTCAGCACGGATCCGAAAAGCTCGAGCTGCTTTCGCTGACTTACACCATCTCTGGCGTAGGCGTGACATCCGGTTATCAACCAAGGGACGTGTGTACTGCTCATCAGTTCGCTCCGTCCTTCTCTATGGCTCTGAAACATGGCCAATACGCGTTGAAGACATGAAAAGGTTAACTGCTTTCGATCATAGATGTCTGCGATCCCTGTCTCACGTTAGGTGGTTTCACAAGATAAGTAATGTTGACGTTAGGCGTAGAGTGTTGGGCAAAGAGGGGAAATCAATCGACGAGGCTATAAAGTTACATAGACTAAGATGGCTAGGTCACGTGGTGCGCATGCCTAACCACCGCCTCCCCCGACGGGCATTGCTAGCTGACATAGGTTCAGGTTGGAAAAGAGCCAGTGGTGGCCAAACAAAAACATGGCATCAATCCATGAAATCCTTGACAGTTAAACTGAGTCAGGTAGGGAGATGCAGACTCCCGGGTTGGGGCCCTCGGGACTCTAGGAATCAATGGCTGGAGACAATAGGTGACATGGCTCAAAATCGTTGTCAATGGCGCAGATGTATTCAGTCTCTGTAATCTTTTATATTCCTTCCTACCATTACCCATTCTGTTTCGCTCTTATTCTTGTCAAACTCTATTGATTCTCTTAACTCATCTTGTTGTCTACCTCTGTGTGCTATTTGGAACGTGGCAACTCGAACTGGTGCACTTCGGTGCCAAGTTCTATGTTGAATCCAGACAGACTATAACCACAAGCGCAGTCGAACTGGTAGATACAACTAGAAGTGGCTAGTCTAGGTACTTCATCTTTCAATCGAGGAATCACCATCAGTGGTGTAGAAAATAGGACTTGTAGTTTGCCAGCATTAATAGCTCTTTGAATAGATTTTCTTACCTTGTTAGTGATTATTGCACTAGGTGTGCCTCACCCTTGAATTGCAGTCGTACATAAAAAGGTTTCTTACTTATAGATGGAGAATAGTCCTTTCCTACTTTCTTAAGTTCAATGATCAATGATCTTCAGCCAAACGAAAGTAATCTCTTGTTCAAATCAATTACCTTGAATAATTATTTCATCATCATATATATATATATATATATATATATATATATATATATACGTGTTTATTGTTTATTCTTTGCATTTCCAGGGAAACATAACACTTCAGTTGAGTTTAAAACCAACTGAATTTGTACTAGCTGTTTAAGCTGACAAGGAGTACACCGAATCGATTTTGCCCAATTTAAGTGTAGAAATTAGACACTGAGGTAGAATATCATCCCACATATTTGATCTAGTAGATACACAGTGATTAAGGCTGTAAAGGCAGCTCTAGCCAAGGATTCATATGATCTAGTCTGGAGTCTAACTAGTAAAGTCAGAAGATTACGATAATGAAATCAAACAAATCAAGGGAAGATTATTTATTATTCCCTTAAGTTCCGAGTGGAGCATAGGGCGGCTTGGACATCCCGTCACCGCTTTGTTCTATTTTCTGCTGTCCTGTTCAGCTGGCTGAGCCCAAGTTTTTCCATAATCTCTCATCTCCTCACCTCCTCTAATCTCCTCCATGTCTCTCACGCATTGACTCGAGTGATGGCCTGTATTAGGAGTGATGTCATTCAACGGCCTCCTTAGTGTCTGTGTATGCGAAATCCATCTCAATTTTATTCTGCATATTTGTTGAATAATCACCTCTCAGTTGGTTTGATTCAGCCAGAGTTTCTTGTTACTAATTCTTTCTGGCCATTCGGCCATTTGATCTTCAATACACAGAGCCAGTCAGGAAAGTGGAGAGCTGTTTATAAAAGTCTGCAATGGCATGTTGGAAATGCTTGTCGTGATGTGATGGCCAAATTTTTGACCCATATAGAAGGACTGACTGACTTCTCATTGGTGTTGAAAACCCAAATCTTGTTATTTATACCGGCAGAGTGAGCGGATGGGATTTCCAAACTGGTCTCAGGTTGATGAAGCCGTATCTTGCCTTTCGGATTCCGACTGGCTGGCGTAGACATCTTCATCCATTCCGACTGCCTGTGGTTGAAACCATGCTTCCTAGATAAGTGTAGGCAGGAAGTAACCTCTGTCAAATCTCTCCCGTTGGTGATGATTGTTGGTTAGTTGGTTATCTTCATCACCTCCGTCGTCTATATGTTCAACTGGAGTCCTATTTTCCCTGCCAGTCTCTTCAGCCAGTTCGTTGGTTTTCACCTGCAAGTCTTCGAGTTAATGTGACATTAAACTTTAGTCATCTCCGAAATCCAGACCTTTCTAGAGTTTTCTTATCAGTCCAACGCAATCCTGTCTTCTCACTTGCATGCACAGTTTGACGCATAATCCAGTCCAGCACAATGAGGAATATCATTGGTCATACTAAGCAACAAGAATTGTTTCACTTCTACGCCCATTTCAAAGACTCCGCTGTGAATCATCTGATATGTGACGACCAATGTAATAGACACACAGCTGTTGAATAAGGTTAATAAAGACTTGGACCACTGCAATTCATAGTGTGGAAGCAGTTTCCAAATTTAATTCTCGATCAACGTTAACTGTCACCGTAAGTATTGACTTTATCCGCTTTAGGACTCGACTGAGAAAAATAATATAATTTACTAGAAAATCACCCAATAATTGTGAGGTCAATTATACACATAGGTTACACTCGTAGATCAGGATTAGTTAGATTATCAGAATATATAAAGGTAGCTAGCTACAGGTAGAACGATTAAACCACTAATGCAAAAAGCCTGGAATTAAGGAAAAGTGTCTATCCATTAAAACCAAGGTTAACTTTTCAAACAACCGAAAGAAGAGGCACTGAAGTCTCTGAAAGAACTGGTGTAGAATAATGCAGTTGTCCACGCCGAGAAAAATATTATCCTGGCGGGACTAAAAGAGACTATCTATTACCAGTATGTCGATGATACATTTATCTTAGCTGATGGGGATGCAAACATACACGAATTGTTGATGAGATTCAACAACGTCTACCCTTCGCTTACTTTTACTTGTGAAAAGAAGCAAGATAGTATACTACATTTCCTGGATGTCTAGCAAAGTAAGCGAGAAAATAGGTCACTTGGGAGAAGCGTGTATAGACAAAGCGCTTTCACAGGGTAATAAACACACTTCCTTAGTTGTGTGCCAATTAAATATAAAAGAAATGTTGTTAAAAGTCTTACGAGCACAGCGATAAAGATATGTACGGCTGACCTCTTACAAAATGAATTTGAATATATTCACGATTCCTTGACGGTGATGGGCCATCCGAGTAGTTTAATAAAGAAACATCTGAAAACATCAGAGAGAAAACCTGAGACTATCACTGCATGTAAAAACCTCTATTTATTAAGTTACAATTTAA